ATAGGATTTAAAGCTGGGAGAGAACTCCCTAATCTCCTCTAGTCCAAAACTGAACGTTTTTCAGAGGAAACTGAGTCTTAGAAAGATGGTGACTTGCTGTGATTTGAACTCGGGGATTTTGACTCCAGATTCGTGCTTTCTCTTTCACCATTCTTCCTTGCCTAGACCAAGTGTGGATAGGACCTAGCCCACATTCATTTACTCCTTCACAAATACTTATTACCCAATTGCTGCATTACTCAGACTTACCTACTACCTTTGAGCAAAGAAAACTTTTTTAAAACTTGTTTTAAAACCATCAACCCTGTGGGGTTGACCATAAAATATGTAAAACTATGTTATGCCTAAAAGCTCAGAAGTCAGGTCTCAAAGGCTGTCATGGAAAAAGTAAAGCCCTGGCCATTCTTCATATAAGAAAAGTGCCCTAGTGTATGTTGCAACCACCGTCAGTTTCTCAAAAAAGAGCACCACATACTGCAGACCATCAAAAAAACAAACAAAAAAACCACAACACAACAAAAACCCAAATACTTATTACCGTTCTTAAATCTTTTTCATCTGTTTCTTTCCTCCTGCCCATGATTGTGGGTATGCCTAATACACTGCCTTTCAACAGTGCATAGGCAACTTCAGCCTTACAGAAAGATGGATGAGGGAAGAGTGAATTAGGGCTGCAGCAGTGGGCTGGCTCTTCCCCAGAACCGAGGCTGCCAAAGGGAAACTAAAAAGCACAGCCTAAGGGTAAATAGCACCTTCTGATCACTTGCAGATAATTTTCCTCTCCCAGCTCCCTCTCACATAAAGAAGTCTTTTATTCTAAATTCCTGAAGAAAGAACAATAGTTTTAGATTTCATTTAACTTGACCACTGGTTAATCTGTAACTTTGAATAATCTACTCTTTTAATAATAAATGGGGATTAGAATCTAAAAGATTAATGAAGATCAATGGTATCTCACAACCCAGATTCCCCTTTCTTCCTTCCTGTTTTAAGACAAAAATTTTAGGAGAAAGTGAGAGGAAGGGAAAAGCGAGCAAATATAGCATATTCTTTAATAAGTAAATACATGGGGCAGTTAGGCTGCGCAGTGGATAGAGCACCAGCCCTGAAGTCAGAAGGACCTGAGTTCAAATCCGGCCTCAGACCAAACACTTGACACTAGCTGTATGACCCTGGGCAAGTCACTTAACCCCGATTGCCTAAAAATTAAAAAAAAAATGTATATGTAAATACATGAAGGATCTGTGATTCTGTCACTGTGGAGAACTAAGTCCTCCATAAATACTTTTCTATTTTATTTCATTTTTTCACATGTATTCACCAACACAGATTGCAACCCATCTGTGATTTAAAAGATCGTAAAATCATAGATTTAGAGCTGGAAGGGACTTCATTGATAATCTAGTCCAACTTCCATCTTACAGAACAGGAAACTGAGGTAATGACAGGTTAAGCAACTTCCCCAAGATCGCACTAGTGATAAAGATGGGATTCAAGATGGCTTAACTGTTTGTTAGCTAAGATGCAAGTCTTTTACATTTTCTTTTACATGAAATATGATCTATCCTTATTTAATATCTTGTTAGCCCGAATGCTTCATTGGGAGCTAAGAACCCTCTTTTTTTTTTTTTGAGAGACCCATACAAGAGTCAAACGCTGATGTTTCCAAAGGAATCCTTGGGGAGAATGGGGTGAGGGTGGGGATATAAGCCTAAAGGAGATAACCTTGACTTTTTAAAACCTGAACCTGTGATTCTGGGCCCTTGATAGCATATGTCTCTGTGCTGTTCACTGAGAATGTGTGTTCCTTAAAGGCTTATCTTATATACTTATGTACCAGAACCTACCATGTTACCCCTGGATGCAGAAAAATTTTGTTGATATTAATGATAGGATTATGACTCTCAGCTAATATGTGGGTTTTAACAGCAAACTCCTGAAGGCAAGGTTCCTTCATTTAGGATTAACCATTAATGAGCCTAATGGTGGTTATTTCAGGCTTGTGAAGGCATTTTGAAACATGAGGCATTTGGAAGCAGGTGGGGATGTCCAATGTCCCTTATATCATATCAGGAAGACAACCACTTAATTCTACTGACCTGTTGGGTAGTAGACAGGTTGGGTGACAGTTGGGTAGTAGAGGTCAACTATAGATTCCCTAATCTGTTTAAAGGAAGAATTACCATGGAAACCCTAAACTAATCTGCCTGGCAATTTATATGACTGAATAACAGTTTGGTCTTGAGTAACTTGTAAAGTGTATAAGGATGTTTGTGTAGCTTGATTTAGTGACAAGAATTTAATGACAGGATTTCTCTCTAAAACCTCTGCTGTTTATTTATTCACTCTGTCTGCAAATGTGGACAAGTCACATTCTCTAGGTCCAGTTTCTTTGCTCATCCATTAAATGAGGTAATTAGACTGACCTGTTACCTCCCTCTAGAGAATGTAGGTTTCTTGAGGGTTCACATCGGTTTTGTCTTTGTCTTTGAATATGCAACATCTAGCACAGTGCTTGGCACACATAACAGGCACTTTTTAAAAAAACAAATAAATATTTTTTAAAGTTTAAATTTATATTTAAACAAATATTTAAATTTGTTTTAATGTTTAATGTTTTAGATAAACATTTATGTTTATTGATTAATTGATGAGAGTCAATTTCTAAGATTGCAGTTAGGTGGTGCAGTGGACATAGCACCTGGTCTGGAGTCAGGAAGACTCATCTTTCTGAGTTCAAACCTGACCTCAGAAACTTACTAGCTGGGTGACCATGGGCAAGTCACTTAAATTGACACTGTTTGCCTTAGTTTCCTCAATGGTAAAATGAGCTGGAGAAGTAAATGGCAAACCACTCCAGGCAATTTCTAAGATTGCCGCTAGGTGGTTCAGTGAACAGAGTACTGGGCCTGGAGTCAGGAAAACTCATCTTCCTGAGTTCAGATATGGCTTTGGACACTTATTAGCCTGGATAAGTGATTTAATTCTGTTTGCCTCAGTTTCCTCAACTGTAAAATGAGCTCAAGAAGGAAATAGCAAATCACTCCAGTATCTCTACCAAGAAAACCCCAAATAGGGCCACAAAGAGTCGGACATGACTAAAGAACAATTTAACAACCACGATTTCTGAGACCCCTGCCAACTTTAAATTCTACATCTTTTCGTTTAATAAGTCAGCTCTGTTGTCAGATAGATAGGTAGTCATGGCTTATAAAGAATCCAGGAAGCCATGTCTTATTCATCTTTGTAGCTTCCGTAGTATGGCAGGAGCCCAATAAATGTTTACTAAATAAACCAACCTTAGAGCTTCCTAACTGGTCTTCCTTCCTCTAGTCTCTCTATCCTACACATTATCTAAGAAACTTTTCTGAAGCACAGATCTGACTACATGATTTCCCTAACTCAACCAACTCCAGTGGTTTCCTATTGCCTTTAGGATAAAACAGAAACTCTTCTGTTTAGCTTTTAAAACCGGACACAGTCTAGCCCCAACCTATCATTCCAGATGTGTTGGATGTCACTCCCCCTCTCCCACTTTGCCACCCAGCCATGCTGGCTTTTTTTCCATTCCTCCTATATAACACTTTCCCTGCCCTGTCTTTGCTTTTGCACTGCCCATCCCCCCCAACCTGGAATGTACTTCCTTCTTACCTCAAGTAGGTGGTTTAATAGATAGAGTGCTGGGCCTGGAGTCAGGAAGACCTGAATTCAAATGTGGCCTCAGACACTCACTAGCTATGCGACCCTAGACAAGTCACTTAACTGCTTTTTGCCTTAATCCACTGGAGAAGGAAATGGCAAACCACTCCACTATCTTTGCCAAGAAAACCCAGTGACCAGTATTGGCGTGCTATGGTTGACAGGGTCATGGGCAACTCAAGGACCATCTTCTACATGAAGATTTCCCTGATCCCTTCACAACCAGTGCCCTAACTTCCAAACTACATTGTGTTTAATTTTGTATGTATTTGTATTCATTTATTTTATATTTATGCTGTATTTTTTAGATGTTTCTGTCTCCTATTAATATGTAAGCTCATACTGGGTAGGGATTGTTTCATTTTTTGTTTCTGTATACTCAGGACATAGCACAATGTCTGGCACATAATAGGTACTTAACAAATATATTGATTGATTGATCAGAGTTACAAGGATTTGTCTCAATCATCCAGAAGGTCAATTGTAGAGACCCCCTGACTACTTTAGAGAACAGAAGGTGTTGTACAGCCATGCAAGTTTTTGCAGACAAAGTAGAGGAGTAAATTTATAGCTGCAAGAGACTTCAGAGGCCATCTAATTCAGTTCCCTCATTTTACAGAGGAGGAAGATGAGGCCTAGAAAAGAGCGATATCTTTCCCAGGGTCTTACAGGTAATATGTAGAAGAATAAAGATTCAAACCTATGTCTTCTACCACCAAATCTACCACTATGACCACTGAGCCATTCCTCACATATGATCACAGATTCAGTGCTAAAAGGTATGTTAGAAGCCATCTATTCTGAATCCCATATTTAAGAAAGGAGAAAACTGAGTTGAGGTAGGGAGATCCATTTAGAAGTCTACTGTGGTACTCCAGGTAGAGATGATGATGTAAATGTATGGGTAGAGAGAAAGAGGAGAGATGTTGCGAAGGTAGAAATGAGGAGACTGCCAAACCGACCAGATATGTGGGGTGGGGTGGCTAGGTGGTGCAGTGGACAGTCAAGAAGACTTGTCTTCCTGAGTTCAAATCTGGTTACTTGCTGTGTGGCCCTGGGCAAGTCATTTCATTGTGTTTGCCTCAGTTTCCTCATCTGCTGAGCTAGAGAAGGAAGTGGCAAAACCAATATCTTTAAAAAAAAAACTCAACAAGATATGTGGGGTGAAGAGTGAAAAGTCAAGGATGGTTCAAAGGTTGTCAGTCTGGATGACTGGGAGGACAATAGTGCCCAGTCTCCATGGCTAGTGGTCCAGAATGGTTCCAATTTTTTCAGCCTCTTTCATTTATCTTGCTTTTTAGGGGAGAAGTATGAACTTCACGCAGGAACTGAGTCCACCCCAAGCGTTGTGGTGCATGTGTGCGACAGCGACATTGAGGAAGAAGAAGATCCAAAGAATTCTCCAAAGCCAAAAATCATTCAAACCCGGCGTCCTGGCCTGCCACCACCCCCTGTGTCTAACTGAGCTTCCCTCCATGCCTCAGACAACACAATCACTTCTTCTCTTTCACATGCTTTCCTTTCTTGTTGGCTTATTTTTATTAGGTCAGTTATGTTTAAAGGAATTGGTTGCCTTCAAATCCCTGGACATTTAGTTCACTGGGACCCCCACCCCTTCCTTATATTGAAGCCTCTCAACATAAGGGCTAGGAAAAGGGGATCTGTTTCCTGAATCCTGTCATTCACTGCTAACCCTAATGCATCTTTTAGGAGGGTCTAAAATAAATAGCATTTTGTTCTTAAGCCACTATTACATCTCAGAGCTATGTACTCAAAAGCCAACCTAAACCAGAGATGTCAATCATGAATGTCACTGTCTGGGGGGAGGTGTGCTTTGGCTTTCTCAATCCCCATATTGAGATGTATGCATTTTTTTTTTCCTGGCCACAATAATAGGACCATATGTAAACTTGAATTTTGATTGCATGAGATTCCATTCATTGTCTCTCACCCAGTCTCTGCACCCAACACCCACATGATATGCATGGTCACCCGCACTTGTTTTCATCATTTGAGGTAATGGTAACCCATTCGTGGTAACCCATGAAATTCCCCATGTCTAGCGGAGAACTCTCTAGAGGGGAACTTTGTTAGGATTGTCTACCTGGACAGGTCTTATTTTGTTTTCTGATGTACTCACTGTTTGGAATAAAACATTTCCTTAACATGTTAACATTTCTGGAGGGGAAAACCAAGTCTAGCACCCAAAGATGTTTCTTGATGTATTTTGGGTATTGCTTCCGCACACTAGCTACCACATCCCACCTAGGAGGTATGTCCAGGGTGATAGAGACTGACTTTAGCAGAAGCTGTTTGTTATTATGGCTTTCTGGTTTCAGAACTATTTGTTGTTGGGGTTTTTTCCCCCTTTCCTTTTTTTGTGTATATTTGTACAAATGTTTCAGCTGTGCTTTTGAAATCAGGAACTTTTTTTTTTCAATTTGGTGATTGTTCAGCCATGCCTGGAAACGTAACTCATGCATTGCTGTTAACGCATTCATAGAATATTACAGCTGTTATGGTAATATCACAGTATCTTATGGATAATACTGAGTATTGAAGGGGCACCAAGATTACTTCAATGGCATATAAGTAAAGATCGAGCATCTTTGTTATTGAAATCCGTTTTTAAAAAGTTATCAAATGTGAGCATCATTTGAAGGTGGTTTAAAGAGAACAGCAACTGAGCAAACCAAAATGAGAAAGAGAAAAGATTAATGGGAAACTACCCTACTCCTTCAATGCCCACATACTGTACATAGAAGACATTTGTTTTAGTTTGTGATTTTCTATTTCTCTATCCCAAAGTGCATTACAGAATATACACCTATAGAACCATTACCTTCTCTGCCGTATGTTCCCGGCCTAGGTCATCTACTGCTGTCCATTAATGAGTTAGTCTAGATGTGTGATGCCAGTTATGATGGAGTGGGAAAAATCTTTTCATTGCCCAAGCCGTAGAACAAAACAAAATAATACAGCCAAATGACTGAAGGGATTTCATGGTTTTTGACTAGGGTGTATAGCTCAGTCTCGTCAGAGACTGAAGTCACATAGAATGTTCATTCAGAAATTAGAAGTCCTTTTTACTGTGAACATATACAGTACTGTACTGCAGAGGGGAAACTGGGGGGAGGGGGGTTGGGAGGGAGCTTGTTAGAGTTTCTCCAGCTCTAATAAACTGGAGAAGGGGCTTATAAGATACTGAGGTTCCAAAAGGGGGAAAAAAAAAAAGATGGCTCCTGTAAGGAATGGAAAAAAAAAAAGGAAGAGAAGTATATGAATAAATGTTCTGGCTTTCACTTGCTGCAGAGGTTGCTTTCACTAGAAATTAAAGAGATTTAACAGTGAAGGCATCCTGCCCTCTAGTGGAACTCTTATCCGACCCTTTCTATTAAAGTAATACTACCCACCCTGTCCAAACATTTCAGCGATTCACTCAATGGTGAAGTCCCTCAGTCTGATTTTATAGGCTGCTTGCCAATCAATCAATGAGAATTTTTTTTAAGCACCTACTGTGTGTCAGCCACTGGACTAGGTGCTGGGAAAACAAAGACAAAAAATGGACATCACCCCTGCCTTCAAAGAACTTGCATTCTGTTCTTATGGATTACCCAGAATATAGGCTCCAAAGAAATTAGTATAAGGGAATGTGGAACTCCTGTTTTCCAGTTAGCTTACTTGTCCTGCTGGCAAATCTATCACATGTTTCAGACCAAGTATAATAGAATGCAACACCTTCATAGAATTCAGGTTCAATATAGTAGATCTGATCTCACCGGGTAGTCAGAACAGATAACAAAGTCTTTCCCCGTCCCAGTGAAAATTTGTCCCCCAAGCTAAGTGCATCTTTCACTGGGCAAGGTTTGTATTGAAAAAGAGAGCTTGGTTATCTAGGTGAATAAGGAACTCAGACTCAACGGTACCTCCTAGCACTGTGAAAGTCAGACTTGCCTCAGCATTTCCATGGACATGCATTATGCAAACCTCTTTAGCACTATTTTCAGTTTGAAGAGTGTAAAAAAAAAAAAGTGAGAGGTGCCCACCGAGTGAATCATTTGTGCACGTGTATAACTCAGAGAGCTTAGACTTCAAATAAATCTGGTGAATGATACTTTGTCCAAGTGGTTTACTTACTTAGGGCATTTGGGAGGCTAATATCGAGGCTAACTTGTCTCATTTGGTGATTGTCCAAACAGATTACTAATCAAGGAGGCAACATCATGTAGCAAATAAAATATTAGACCAGCCTTCAGGAGACATGGGTTCTAGTCCTTACACAAGCTGTGTGGCCTCAGTTCTCTGGGCCTCAGTTTTCTCAATTGTAAGACAAGGGATCATCTAAGGTACCTTTCAGTTCCAAATCCGATGATCCTATAAGATGATCCCTGAGATTCTTCCCAATTCCAAAAGTTCTATCATTCCAATTTTTGCTCTATGTAATAATTACTTTGAAAAAACAGTTGAATAAGGGCAGCTCGGTGGTGCAGTGGAAAGAGCACTGGCCCTGGAGTCAGGAGGACCGAGGACTGAGTTCAAATCAGACCTCAGACACATAACATTTACTAGCTGTGTGACCCTGGGCAAGTCACTTAACCCCATTGCCTAGCCAAAAAAAAAACAAAAACAAAAACAAACAAAAAAAAAATGAAAAAAAACAGTTCAATGCACTTGTAACTCAGTAGCCAAATATCAGTTATAAATTTGAGATGCAGGGGTCCCCAGTGGGAATTTGTATTTTGAGTCATCTCTCTAGCATTGATATATTGACACTGTTGTCTTTGTTGTTGAACAGGCTATGATCTAACATATGGGAAAGTTTTTTAAAGAAGCTACTAAATATCCCTTAGTTTCTCATATTTTTTTAAAAAAGGTACACCTCAGCATCCACATTGATTTTGATAGGAATGATTAGTGTGTTGAACAACAGGGTCCCAGACTGGTGCTGTGTATTGTTTTACACACACACACACACACACACACATACATGTGTGTGTATAGATAGATGATAGATATAGATGTATTTAAAATTTACAGAATCTTGTGTTTTAGGCCAGGGAAGTGGATCGTTGGCTAAAACCAAATCATATATACCTATAATAATATCAGTAGTAACAACTATTATTATGTAAATATGCCAGCTTAAATTCACTATCATTGTGTCTAGTCTTAAGTCATTATTATGATTTTTTAGTAGAAACGAGTATAGTTTCCAAATCAAACTGAGAACTGCATGAAAATGTATTAATCCCTTGATGTTCTTCTTCACCTCATTAAGACTTTATCCAATGAAGCAAAATGTCATTTGGACTTGATAACTGTAAAATTTTTGATGTGCACAAGTAAGAATAGAAACTGAAGTTTGAGTTAGAGGTCAAAGTGACCCAATAGATGAAGGCAGTGAAGACAAATGCCTTTGTCTTCTTCAGGTAAGACATGTTAAGCATAGGACTTAATCAAGATGAAAGTTGAGTCTACGTATGTGAAAGACATCCCTCCCCTGCCATGTTGGAATAGAGACTTAGAGCTGCAATATGAGACCTTAGAGATCATCTAACCAAACTTCTCATTTTACTAAGGAGGGAAACTGAGGTCCAGGGAAGTGATCTGTCCAAGTTCATACAGGTTGTAAGGATCAGAAGTGGCATTACATAGTAATATAATGCAACCACACACAAAGCAAATAGAAAACAAGACAGGATAGCATCTAGTCAGGTATATATTGGAGACTCCAAATGTCTATAAAAATTCAGAGACAAGAAACGAATGTGGGCTCGAGAGGTCTTAAGGGTTCATGAAGGAGGTGGGACATTAGGTTGGCCTTGAATGTTATTTGAAAAAGCAGAGAAAGAAGAAAGTTTACTGGGTTAGGCATGGCGTGAGATGAATATTTCATAAGCAAAGACATACTGAGAGATACACAAACATGATATTAATGCATATTCAAGTCAGGTCTAGAACTCATATCTTCTCGATTGTGTCTGTATTCAGCTAATCTAACTGCCACTTGATTATCTATAGAAGTATGAACATAATATCATAGATTTAGAGCTGAAAAGGACCACAGAGGCCATCTAATTCAACTTTCTCATTTTTACACATGAGGAATATGAGGCCCAGAGAGGTGAAATGTCTTTGCCCAATATTGCACAGGGAGCAACAGACTGGATTTGAACCCAGGTCTTCTAACAACACATTCCATGCTCTTTCCACTGTACCATGACATTTACTTATTCCTTCTTAAGTGCTAGAGGAGACTCACACATATGCTCAGCTTTGATCATATGATCTTCTTTTGCTATTTTATCTATTTCCCCAATGCTGGTAACTGACAAATCTTTAGCCCGGGGCCCTGACAGTTTGCCCAAGCTCCAGTCTTGTATTTTCTACTTCCTGCTGGACAGCTCCTCCCCATGTTCCACCAAGACCTCAAACTCAGTATCTTTCCTACCACATCAGTTTGTTCTTATGAGTTGCCTATCTCTATGCAAGGTATCACCATTCTCAGAGTTCTACAGTCTCAAAAACCTCAGTCACCTTTCTCTCTTTCTTCTATCTGGTTTCCTTTGTCCCCCATCTCCATCTCCCTGCAAACCTTAATTCACTATATAAATGTGAGTTATACCTTAGAGGGATCCCCTGTCAAGAGCTCATTATCTCTTTCACTGGCTGATACAATAACATCTTAAGCTATCTCCCAGCTGGGAGGAATATCATGAACAAAGCCAAGGGCAGGGAGAGGGAGGAGGGAGAGGAGGGGGAGGAAATGAGAGATGTGAATAAAGAACCATGAGTAGTCCAATTTGGCTAGAGTATAAAGTACACAGATGAGAGTAGTGGAAGATAAGGGTTATGAGGAAAATGATTCATAAACCTCAAAGCACCATAAATCCTGAGTTATTTTGACTTATTTTTTCCCTCTCCAATAAATCTCATCCAAGGCTGCCAGATTAATCTTTGTGATTCTGATATGAATTCTGGTCATGCTAATCCCCTCTCATGAATCTTCAATGGCTCTCCAATGCCCACTAACTGAAATCCAAACATAGCCACCACAGTGTTCAAAACTCGTCATCATATGATCCCAGCATTTCTTTGTCCAGCCTTAGCTCCTACTGTCCCCATCTCTGTACTTTATACTCCAGTGAGATTAGACTACCTATTGTTACCAATTATGCTCTTCATTTTCCTACTGTATATCTTTGCTTGTTGGTGTTCCTTCCAATTGAAATGTCCTTCTTTTGCATCCCTGATGATCAAAATCTTACTTAAATGTGAACCCTCCCTCCTCCAAGCCCTAATAGTAATACTAAATTAATAATAATGTAATTTAATGATATTAATTAAAATATTAATAATAACTAACATATAGTGTTCACAGACACTGTACAAAGCACTCTACAATTATTATTTCATTTGATCCTCACAACAACCCTGGGGGTGCTATTATTATACCCATTTTACAGATGAGGAAGCTAAGGCAAATAGGGGATAAAATGACTTGCCCGGGATCACACAGATAGTAAGTTTATGAGTCAGGATTTGAACTCAAGTCTTCCTGATTCCAGGCCCAGTGCTCTATCCACTGTGCCAACTAGCACAGTATTTGTGTCACTCATATATCACTGATCATACTATCTGGCATCATATATATATATATATTTGAATACTTGTCTTATCCCACCTACTAAATAACAAACAAGCAAGGTGACATAGCGAATGTGGAATCAATGGATATGGATTTAAATCCTGACTGTGCCACTTAGAACTTGGAAAATTACTTCACCTGCATAGAACTCAGTTTTCTCCTCTGTAAAATGGGGAAGTGGAGTGGACTAGGTAACCTCTAAGGTCTTCTAAATTTATGATCTTTTCAGGAAGAGATGCGTCCTACTTGCCTTATCATTGATAAGATCGCAGCTCTAAGGCAAAGAAGGATCATCAAGGTCTCTCATTTTACAGAAGAGGAAACTCAGAATCAAAAAATATAAAGTGACTTGCCAAAAGTCACATACATACTAAGTAGTAAAGCCAAGATTTGAACCCAGGCCCTCTGACTCTAGAAACTCTTTCCATTGTACTATATTTCCACCACATTCGTATCATTCTGATGACTTAGCAGAGT